GTTAGGTTAGGAGGCAAAAATGCAGGACCATGCAAATTGCAGCCTAATCTACATTGTTCCACATGTTCCACACAACCTTTTCCAGCTCAGGCTCTAGCCTCTGATCAGTGTAACACAGAATCATAGAAACATTAAGGTTGGAAAAGCCCTCCAAGACAATCTGGTCCAATCATCCCCCTACCACCAATGTCACCCACTAAATCATGTCCCTAAGCACCACGTCCAACCTTTCCTTGAACACCCCCAGGGACTCCACCACCTCCCTGGGCAACCCGTTCCAATGCCCGAAATCTAATCTGTTGGTTTTGTCTCTGAAACTTTAATGGCATAACTCAGAAGCAACAAAAATAAGCCAAGGAAATGAATGATGCTATGCTATGAAATGAATTAGACCATCATGAACATTTTACAATCATTAGAATCTTGTGCCTTGTGTTACACGGGCCATATATTCAGAATTGGACAAATTAAATATGACAGATAATGTTCAAAAATACTGCTAGAATTTAATTAGCTCGGAATTAATTTGGGGCAGTAGGGAAGTAAAACTTTTCATTTGGAAGATATAGGAAAGAAAACTTTTGCGAAAACAAAAATATAACTTGAAGGAAATATTTTGTATTTTCAGAAAACGTTCTCCTTCAGTAATTTCCTTTAAGATTTCTTTCCTGTTCCTGACAAGATTTACCAAAGAAGCCTGGTTTGCCAGTTTTTTAGAAGAAAACAAAAAAATAAAATAAATAATAAAAAAAAAAGGGAAGTAATGTGTTAAGCAGTTTTTCACTTTTAAGTGCTAACTTGTGTGTTAAGATTCACTTTTCAGAGTTACTTTTCCAAACTCTCTAGCTTCCCTAATTTTACCAATTTAAAAAGAACCAAAGTTGGAGAAAGGGGAGATTTTTTATCCTCTTTCCAAATTCTTTCTTCTTTTCAGAACTTCTGTCTGATCATTTTCTCTTGCAAGAACTGACATTTTCATATAGACATATATATATATATATATTTTCCCTTTGAAGACTTCCAATGAGGTAAGAAACATTTTTAATCATTGCAGCACTGAATCTATGAAGAAATTAAATATTGCAACTGCAATTACTCTCACAGCTCATACCATATCTGATTTCTGGTATCTGCTGATATAGCATTAACTCCTTGGAAGAAACAACCGCTCAACATTAAACTGTTCATGTCTCGGATATCCCCAAAACGCTGATTAAGCCTTCACTTGAAGTATACCTCAAAATCATTGCTCATTCTATAGCATATATTATGTCTAAAAATTGTTTTCTGAAAGCCAATGTGAAAAACTTTGTCTTGTTCCCCACTTTCACAGTCAGTGTAAAGTTTTTGCTATTTGAGTCTTTATCTCAGAAAACTTCATGGCACAGAACTAATATTCGTGGTCAGTTCTAACTGTATTTCTCTTATAGCAGGGGCGACCTTATCGCTCTCTGTAAGTACATTAAAGGAAGCTGTAGCGAGGTTGGGGTTGTCTATTCTCCCATGTGCCTGGTGACAGGACGAGGAGGAATGGGCTAAAGTTGCACCAGGGGTGTTTTAGGTTTGATATTAGGACAAACTTTACTGAGAGGGTTGTGAGGCATTGGAATGGGCTGTCAAGGGAAGTGGTGGAGTCAGCATCCCTGGAGGTCTTTAAAAGACATTTAGATGTTGAACTTAGTGATATGGTTTAGTGGAGGACTTGTTAGTGTTAGGTCAGAGGTTGGACTTGATGATCTTCAGGTCTCTTCCAACCTAGACAATTCTGTGATTCTGTGATAACAATATGGTTAGTACAATACATATATATATTATTTGACAATTATTGGCTATAATATTTAATAGATAGAAGGGGTCATAAAAAATTTCATGTGCTTAATGTAGAGTAGATATTTTTTGTAAATGTAAAGAACAAGACAAAAAGTACATAATCTCAGTCATTTATCTTCATTTTTTCTCTACTTCGGGGGCATGCATATCTACTCCTCTTAGCCTTGTTATTTGTACTCTTAAAAAAAAAAAAAAAAAAAAGCTTGTTTTTGAAAATTAGCATTGTAGAACTGGCTACTCAGACAGTCAGCTATAAATTCTTATCAATTGAACATATGTATTTTTAAAATACTTTGATGCTGAACATCTGGAAAAGAAACCCAATATTTCCAAAGACTGAAAAAAATGTAGGAAGAAATCATTATATTATTTCACTTTTTAAATTCCTTTAGAGTTCCCTCAAATGCTGTCAAAGTTGTTGTTGTTTTTTCTTCTCAAAAATTTTCTTCCTATAGGTGCTTTTCATATATCAGAGAGAATAATTTTCTGACACTTCCACTATTTATGTGAAAAATGTAAGTAAATATTTTAGACAATTAGTTAAAGAAAATTCACTTCACGTGTTTTACATGGTTCACATTTTGGGGGGGGAGGGGGATAAAAATATCCTTACAAAGCAGAAAGACACAAAATTTGAATGCTGCATTTATTAATCCATTATTCTGCCTTCATACTTAAACTATTTATTTTATATAGCTCTCACAGAAAAATAAATTTCTACAGGCAAACTACTACACAGTATGTCAGAGCTAAGGGACTGCCATTATTTCCTATTCACAACATACGAGCTTTTGCAATGATACCACGGAAGATAAGGAGTTGTCACACAGCCAACATTTGAGGTACATCACTTGCAACTCTTAAAGAAAGCACCCTGAAAAGAAAGGGTCTTTAAATCCTCATTAAAGCATGAGAGCTTTTTTAAAAACAAGAATTTCATTATCCTTTTTAAGAAAGGCTTCTCCTCAAATTGGCTGCTTAAGACAGAAGGATAAATAGTTTTTTTAACAACCCTGCCCTTGCCATACTTGCCATAGGTAAGTTCATTCTCATTACAGTTCATACTGTTTCCTTGGAGCCTGCAGGAAAAATAACGCTTTTTGTCACTTCAGAGAATATGCATCAGCTTTTTTGCTCTGATCAGCACTTTCCTACCCTTTCTTCATGTCACAAAGTCTCCTGCTCACTGTTCTTCCACCCACCTCTCCCAGGATATCTAGCCTGTACTCTGGCAATTTTTCTTGGTTATATATGTGGGGAAGAAGTAATCCCTCTTCTCTTACGTAGATTCAACCTAGTCTCTAGTGCTGTAGTCAAGAGAGAAAGGTAAGGCACTAGCCCCATTCTGAACTGCTCATCCACAACATTTGTCAGAAATGAGTAAATCAAGTAGATGTGAGCTACGTCACACCTAAATTCAATAACGCTGTTCCCATGAACATATCATGCCCTATGAATTAGACTTTTATGATTATCTTTTCACCAGGTCCAGAGTTGAATAACATACAGGTTTTTTTATTTTTATTTTTTTAATACTATAATTGAATAGATGTGATTATTTGTCTTTCCTGAAAATATAAAAGTGTAACTATCATGCATGCTTGCAAGATTAATTCTAACTACATCAGAGTTTGCATATTAAATACAACTGACTTCCGTTTTGATCTACTATCATTTGTTGACAATTTTCCCATTGCACATAATTCAGATTTTATATCCGAGCATTGGAACCTATAACTTACTATATAATATACCTTGTATCTTAGATATAGGCATAGATCTTTGTGATCCACCAGCTGTTTCAGTCACAAGTCTTCAAAGGTATTACAATAAGTAATTTAATTCACCCCAAAAATCTTTCAATAAGGTGTTTTAAATAATCATAAGATCTTTTGGAAATTTATTTTATTCCTGTTAGTTTGTTGTTTATGTCATTCCTCATTATATTGCTTATGTTCCAAAACAAAGACAAACACACAAAAATAATACACTACATCTACTGAAAAAAAAAATGATAAAAAGGTTTAATTTATTCTTACAGACCCACACCTGCTTACTTTTTAACACAATCTCACTCTAAAATAGCTCAGATGAATTCTGCTCTGACAGCTTATTTCTCTCCATGAACAGAAGAACATCAAACACTCTAGCTTTGGCTCAGAAGACTAGCTTTATATGTCTGAAGACAGATAAAATTAAAACCAGCCACAGACCAAGCTCCATGTGTGTTAGATGGATATAAATATCTCAGCTGTAGTGGTAAGAAAAACACAGTTATACCCATGAACTAGAATATGGTATTAGTTACTCAAAAGAATAAATAAAATAACGATGTAACTGCTGGACAAGCCAAGAAGATTTACTGAAACCTTCTGTATTACTTCAGTAACAATTTCTAACTAGAACTTAAGGGACCATTATTTCTCAGAAATGATAAGTAATCTACTCTTTATGAAGCTTAATTTCATGAGCCAAATGTTTTTAATTTTGTCAAACTCTGCAGAATTAAATGGCTACAGATATGATTTAGCTTCTGAATAAGTACCATATTTTTGCTCCACTGATTCTGGTTAATTTCTAATATTTATGTCATACAGTTCTCTTAGGTGCAATTGGAAAAAAAATAAAATGCTGTCAGGACAACATCCATCATTTAACTTCTGCTCATTCATTTCATTGTCCATTGTGTCTTAATCTACTTCAGTGATGAATGAAAGGTGGGATAATGTTTGAGGGAAAAAACAAACAAACAAAAACTTCTCTTGATATTGCACTGACGTACAAAAAATTACAAAGCTTCCCTAAAGCAAAATGATGATTAATAAATAAATAAATAAATAAAAAGTATTCTAAGGACTTATACATAGTTTTGCTGCTATCAACTGTATTTGAATATGCATTTAATATGCATATGCATTTAATATAAATATGCAATTAATATGCATTTAATTAAGGTATATACTGTTCTCACTCAGCAGGACCTTACAGAAAGTGAATTCTGATACCTTCAAGGAAGCTGAGAGGAATTACCATTCCTATGGTTTCAAAACAGCCACTTGTAATATAAAGTACAGAAGGATTCCAAGTTCAAAATTAGCAAGATAATTTTACTTAGAAAATCTATAGAGGATTCATATGATCATAATTCAAGCTTTCTAAAACTTCCTTACCATTGTGTAGTTGTGAGCCACCTTCATTAGCTCTGTGCATCCTTGTGCATCAGCAAATGCTCGTATTCCCAAACAGTTGGATGGGTGCAAAAGCTTCATTAGAAAATGGCAGCAAACCTCTACTACCTGGGGGAGTTGGAGGAGGCAGGCAGCTGCCAGAAGATTTTCAATAGTGTCCTCTTTCAGCTCCAGGCAGCCTAAAAAAATGGAATAATAACACATGTAAGCTTGGCATTAAAAAGAAACAAACAAACAAAACATGCAGCATCTTTTGTAAATAATTCTAGCTTAATATAAATAGTTCTGCAGAAAAAGTAAGCAGAGGATTAGTGTTTATGACTGGACACTTCAATTACACGAACATTACAGTGTGTAAACATTAATTCAGCTATATAAGATCGATACAAATAGAGATGGGAACATATTGAAAGAAGAAGAAGCTTAAGAACATTGTTTTTGTTTCTATAATGAGATTAAAATCTAAGTATCTAGATAATGACTTGACTGTGATTTATTTATTTTGAAATTGATGATTAAACTTGCATTATCTTCAGTGGTACAGACTAAAACTCTCATCCTTGCAAAAAACACAGTAACTGGCTAAAAAAGTATAATTAAAAATATAAGTATCTTCAAAACAATACTTAAAATTTTCAAACTTTTGGTACTTATTTGTAACACGATTTGGTGGGTAATTTTATCTAAATAATATATTTCATATCTCTCAAAGTATACCATTCTTCTAAAAGATTTTTATATTAGCTAGAAGAACATACAAGGATGCATAATATTTATCTTCCATTTATTTTTACGTTATATTTAATTTTGTCACTTCATATCATCTCTACTTTACAGACTAATAAACTATTTAATAAATAAAAGGTGAAATAAAATAATATGCATTTAAAAAATATCCCTTTATTGAAGAATAAGTATCATTCTTGTCATCATGTCCCACAAAGCTGTCATTTTTAAATTAAATCTTTGTATGGTCTCTTACGTGAATAACTTGAGACAATAAATTAGACAACTCAGGAATAGCTTGGAGAACATGAAAACAGAACATGATATGAAAATGTGTAAGTATAATATAAGTTGTAAGAAACTAACACTTTGCTGTGCTTGGAAAAATCCCTTCACACTGTAAGAGGATTAAGTGTATATTGATCTTTCTGTTCAAAGTATTATAGTTCAACTGTTTGATAAACTCCCTCTTTTCCCCATGCATTTTTTGTGTTTGTTGTCATATAAACAGAAATCTACATGTCTTAATAGTTCTATCACATGGCATTGAGCAGTTCCAAAATCCTCAACTTCACAACAGATTGCCATAGAAAATAAAAGCCATTTTATATTGCAATACCAAACCAGAAATACAATAATACTGAAGATTTGACCTTTTTGCCTCCTTTAAAGCTAAACCTGTAGCTTTTAATACAAGATGGAAACTATGAAGTTATCCTTTCTAGTTATAATACCTCCCTTTTGTAAAGATTAGAGCAGCAGATCAAGTACACAGCATAACTTCAGTTTTCCTCTGCTTATACATCTTGTAATGCCATGTGAGTTTCTGTTAATGTTATCTGACTGTTCACACCACTTCTGTCCCCCCCATATTTGCACAATATAGTCAGAAGGCACAGTATGAAGCTGATGCTTGGTTGACCCGTGTATTTATCAATGATAGTCCTAAATTTGCTCCATGATTACAGGTAACCACTGGCCCAACACCCTACTCACTACATAAACTGTAGTTCTACTTTGTATAGAAGCTAAAAAAATAAAAATAAAAAAAAATTTCAGGTTAAAACTGATCATCCCAGTACTAAAAAGCAGGAAAAAAAATGTGCAAAACAGCTATCAAACAAACAGAGTTTTAAATCTCTTTTTCTTACACACTACTTATTTCTCAACAACAATCTCAAAGAAGTCTCTGACCATACAAAGCTAGTCTGGATAACTGTTGAGGATTGCCAGAAAGATTGAAAGAATTGTAACCAGCTATAAAAAAAAGTTCACAGTTTTTATCACTAAATATAGCATTAGGAAATGAAACTAGAGGAAACAGATAGTTTCCATACAGAAACAGTCCCCTGGGTTAATAAGTGGTCTAGAACATTAAGTTTAGAAAGAAAAAGAAGGAAGAAAAAAAAAAAAGGGGGCAAAAAAAAAGGCACTTAAGAGTCTTAGTATATATAATGTGACCTCTTCAGACAGTTTTATATTGACAGTTAGATGATCCAAGTATCTAATCAAAAATGTTTAATATGCTATTCAAGGGGGTTACTTTTAATGTTACTGTTTCCTCAATTTACTTCCCTCTCACACTTTTATGAAATAAGGGGCTTGCACAACTACTTCAGCATGAGCAAAACAAATTAACTAAAGCTTAAAAATCTCATTTTGTGTTACATTAATTAGTATGAAAAAAGGCTAAAAAACAATCAAAAATGTTAATGAATTTTAATTGCTACTCTAAATTATAGTTCTATTTGTGACAAATTTTATGTGTATTGTTTATGCAGAAATTAAAATGCTTATCTTTAGGATGCATCCTTACAATGAATATGTACAATTTATTATTTCACTAACAAAGTTGAAGTAGAGAGAATATATAAAAATTCCCTGATATTTTTATTGTCTTTGTTAAATCTCTTTCTTTCTCCTACTCTTTAAGCTAAACTTTTCCAAATAATTTTGTGTATAGGGAATCACTGCATCTTTGAACATCTTGCAGACTAACACAGTCAGTGTGTGAGTCACGGGAATCAACTTCCCGCAGACAGTGACCATTAGGTATCAACAGGAATACAGTTTTACCACTCAGTAGGTGCTGCTCACTTGCTCTGTGCATGAGCAAGAAATTTCAATCCAGATACATAACATATGGCAATATAATTTTATTTCATGTGCACAGTAATCTATTTTTCTTTCTTGTGTAGGTAATTAATCTGCACATTGATCCATTCATGCAAAGACCCTTCAACAACACTAAGATACTCTGTGAGTCAGGGTACACAAATGAAGTCATAGGAAATGTCAAGTAATCAGAAACAAAGGCTAGAGCTAATTCCTTTTAGTCGGGTGTTTATCTTCTAACCTTTCCATTTCATGTGACTTAATCAGTTGTATTGCAGTTTTGAAGAGTTTTTTAATATGACTTATAATTATTTATTTTCATAACACTAATATATTTATTATACTTTATTATGAATCAATTTTTAAATATTTTTAATAAATTATAATTGTTTTCCATAAGCTAACCCCTATACTCAGTCCTGGTAAGGCAGCTTGTTTATTAGGTCTCCATTTTGTAAATAAAACTGTAGATAGTATGAAGATAATATTTATTCAGCTTTTGAAAAGTAGTTGAATTGTTTGAATGATGGTTATGAAAGTGAACTGCTTTTTTTCAACAGGATCAAATTTCAATGACAAATAGAAAGAGCTTACGAAAACTGTGCTATGTTTCATACCACTGTAACAAACCTTTTTGACATTTCTTATTTAATCTTACCAAGTCTTAGGTATCTACCAGGTATCTCGCCATCTGAGCTAAACATTTTAGATTTCCCTTTATAATCAACACAGAGAAATACGAAGATACAGCGCATCTACTCTGTTTCAGTAGTCCACTTTAGAAGGTGACGGATCACTCCCAAGGATTGGTTATTTCTTGTAATTAACCATAAAAGAAGCACCTTCATTTGACTTGCTCTGACACTGTCAATATTTATACTTGGTGATATGAATTCAGTCCATCTGCTCCCAAACACACAGTATTGGAATGATTGGAACCATTAGGGAACAGGTGATAAAGAGTGGAAATGCTTTCGTCCCTTTTCAACACTCTTTGGGTCCAATTCTGATTTTCACATTCCTTATTACTGTCAACTCCTGGAAATGATATAATGTGCAGTAATTATCTCTTACATTCATCCATGAAGCCAATGAAGTCTGCAATAAAAAGTAGCTTCCTCATAGCAGAATATGTGCTAGTCTTCAGCTGTTTTCTGAAGTGAATGTTAAATTTTTGGTTTGGACCAGTATCTTAAAAGATATATTCTACACTGTATGATCACTTACACTTTTTGTAAATGTGAGTTTGTTTCCAGAAGAGAAAACACAACAAGCAGTATATTCCTTTTGCAGAGGATCCTCATCATTTAACACTTCTTTATTTTCTGTTAACTATTTGTTGCAAACCAGTATCATCAGCTGCAAGTGAGGTAAGACAAGCTCTCTATGGCTTTTTCTGTTTATTTCCTTACACCATAGCATTTTGCATCAGTGAAAATTTGGAAAGGCAGCCTCACTGCAGATATACAAATTAATTATTAAATAAACAAAATAGATACTACAAGACAAGTGCTACACAAATAAAAAGTGCAATTTGAATTGAGGAAAAACTTAGGATCTGACTATTATCTGTATTATCAAGACTATTCATCCTATACACTAGCAGCCAAAACCAAAGCTAAACAAAAATTAACCTAAGAAGTATGCATAACTCAAAGATGTTTCTACTCGACAGTGCTGATGAATCACTTGAATTTAGGCCAATTTGATATCTGCCACAATAAACAGAAGACAAGTTAAAACACATGACTTAACTATGAAAATACTTTTCCCAGCAGAAAATTGTTTCCTAACAGAAACATTTTCCTGTCCTGAACAATTTCAATCTTTTTCTATTTATATTGCTTCTCTTTTTTAGTCCCTGTAGGTGAAATTCATCTCCTGAAAAGCTCAACTTATTTTAACTCCTCATTCTTCACACTGAAGTCTTTATGGTTTTGTTTATTTAATTTTAATTTAAGTTGTATGAAATAATCTCAGAGAAAATGGATATCTAAATAAAAGAAGTATTCACTTAATTCAAATATGTCACTATGATACTCAGATAAATTGTCAGTTTTAGCTTCTCACCAATGTCAGTTTTAGCTTCTCAACCATGGCTTCAAGATTAGGGGAACTTGTCATTTCAAATAACCATTTTTATAAGAACTTTAAGAATTAGTATGTGTAAGAAAACTACTTACATAATTTTTTCTGCAGCTGGAAAAATATGTTATTTGCAAAAGAAAAAAAGTTAATGCATCTGTCACAGGAATTTGAGAATTATGATAAATAAAACAGCATCAATAATAGTACATAATAGTACAGCTTTTAATAAACTGTACTATTATTTTCATGC